AACTGATCTCTGTTACAGCCTTGAAATTGGTTTCCTTCTATTGTACACACACTATTACTTTTTATACAAACTAAGCTTGTAGTATTTTGTGCTTTAATTCTTTAAGGGTCAATCATGTGAATTATGACAGCAGCCACCTGTTTATAGGTGGTTTAATTGAAACTTGCTTAATTAAGTTTTATTAAAAACTTGATTTATGGGATTTTAAGTGAGATGCCATACTTAGAGAACTTAGCACAGTATTTCACACATGGAAAGCATTCCATAAATCTTAGTTGTCTTAATTGTTAGAATCCCCTCAAGAAGTGGCTTTTAACCAGATCTGGAGGAACCATCATGGCAGAGGGACTAGAACATCCTAAAGTCCTTAGGGGCCAAAGAGCCTGTAGCCCTGCTCCAAACAAGCTAGTGAGGGAAAGTCAGCCCTAGTGGGGCACTTAGCTTTGGGAATAAGTTTAGGCTTTACCTGGAGACTAATTAAGAGCCATAAAGGGTCATAAGCCCAGCAATCACATTTACATTGTTATGTTAGAAAATGATTCCAGGGATGCCTGGGTGGCTCAGTTGGTTAAGCGGCTGCCTTTGGTTCAGGTCATGATCTCAGGGTCCTGGGATCAAGTCTCGCATCAGGCTCCCTACTTGGTGAGGAGCCTGCTTCTCTCTCTGCCTCTGCCTACCACTCTGCCTTCTTGTGTTCTCTCTCTCTGACAAATAAATAAAATCTTTAAAAAAAACCAAAAAACTGTAAGTTATCAAAAAAAAAAAAGAATAAAAAAAGAAAACTATTCCATTCACCTGTGGAGAGTGGTTACAGGGAAGTTCCTTACAAGGTTTGGCCATAAAATAAGTAACCAGCCTTGGGCGCGTTATTTAAGCTAAGTGTGTTTTAGTTTCTTCATCTCCAACACAGATTTAATAATATACTCATAGCATAAACTGTGAGTTGTTATTTGTCATATGAACAGCTCTTAGTGCTTTAAATGTTTGTTAAATAGAATGCTGAAAGTCTGATGGCAGAAAGTTAAGCACTTCCGGTACTGCCATCCCTCCGTCTAGCTTACCTCCACCATGGAAAACCCAGACTGCCCCCAGCTCTGAGTCCTTGGCCCAGCCTCTTTCCAAACCAAGCCCAGCTTCCTCCCTCCCCATGTCGGGTCTGGTGTGGGTGCCTCCACATGGATGTGCATATGCTGGCCAGGCCTGGCTGGCCTTTTCTTCATTGGAGCACCTGCATGGCACTTCACATAGTCAGGCCTCAGTTTCCACTTACACGATGTAGGCTTCCTGCTGGGGTGAGCTATGCAGAACTCACTTGTACACACCGCTCCTCAAAGGGTGGCACACTGGCTGTAATTTACCTCCCCTGGCTTTGCCAACCTGACCATGACTTTCAGCCAGATTGCACTTGATGGTTGAAACCAACTGGGCTGTCCTCAGTTCCTGTTTGCTTTCTGTATTTTAAAGGCCAGCTTTGAACTGAAAGAGAGAAAAAGAAAAGTAATATGTAAATGGCTTCCATCCAGCCTTTTCTTTTTCACTCTGGTAAAAAGCCTCTTAAGTATTTTATTTATTTATTTATTTTTATTTTTAAAGATTTTATTAATTTGAGAGAGAGCAGAAGATGAGAGCAGAGGGAGAAGCGGGCTCCCCGCCGAGCAGGGGTCTGATGTGGGGCTTGATGTGGGCATCGATCCTAGGATCCTGGGATCATGACCTGAACTGAAGACAGACATTAACCAATGAGCCATCCAGGTGCCCTGATCTCTTAACTATTTTATACCTTATAAGAAGTTTACTTTTAACCATCTATATATCTATTTTTCTCCATCAGTGACTTGTATTTGTAAAGTCATGTGATAGATGTTGTTGGGTTTTTAAAATATCATCAGTATCTTTTGCTAAGTAGTTAGTAATTTATCAAAGGCACTTTAACTTGCTATAAGTTGTTTTTTTTTTTTCAGAAATTTTATTTATTTATTTGACAGAGATCACAAGTAGGCAGAAAGGCAGGCAGAGAGGAAGAGAAGCAGGCTCCCCGCTAAGCTGAGAACCAGATGTGGGGCTCGATCCCACGACCTGAGGATCATGACCTGAGCCAAAGGCAGAGGCTTTAACCCACTGAGCCACCCAGGCGCCCCTAACTTGCTATAAGTTTTTCCAGTTTGGAAATAGTAAATGGGATCGCATGCAGGGACAGCAGTTTTTAACCTGCATGACTTAGTAGTGTTGCCTGGAGTCCTGTTTTGAGGATCGTGAGGCAAGTCTGAGCTCACAGGGAGAAAGTACCTGGTCTACAAGAAAGGATGCATACCAGATCAGGGTAGAATTCTCCCTGGAAGGAAGGACGGCTGTAGAACTGGTGGGGAAAAGGAGAGATGGCCCAGAAGGCTTCCTTGGTGTTTCTAATGCTTGTTAAATGTGATGATGGGTGAAATTTGTCATATTATTTTGTGTCTTTTTGAGTATGTGAAATAGTTCATGATAAAATTGAAATGATGCCATCGACCCTGGGCATTACTGGTAAGTTTGTTGTCCTGGTTTGGTGGGACCTATCCTTGACTGAGGTAATAACACCCTCTTTCCCTGGATTCAATGGTCCTCCAAGTATTTGTGGACCAAGTGTGTGGACTCATACATTTAGATGCACATAGTTTATTTTATGTCATAATGTGTACTTATAAAATGTAGTACAGGACTTAAAAAAGAATAAAATGGCTCTTTCCCTGTAAATATACTAAAAACCATGGGGTTGTACACTTTAAAGAGTAAATTTTATAGTATATGAATTGTATCTCAGTAAAGCTGCTATTGAAAAATAGTTCCAAATACAACACTTTTTCAAAAAGTAATTTTTTTTTCTATTATAGTAATATTACACGTACACACATAGGAAACTGGAAAATGTATTAAAGTAGAAAAATATATATACTCATAATAGCACCACCTCAGAGACTGTTAACATTTGGTGATAGTTTCTTCCAATATTTTTCATTTCCATGTATGGATTATTTTTTATATTGATGAGATTGTTGCTGTGTATTAACATTTGCATCTTCCTTTCTTCATTTGACATTGTAATATAACCATTTAAAATGCTCTCATGAAATCTTTATAAACATTTTAATGGTTTACAATGAGGGTTTTATAAATTAATCAGTTCCTGCTGTTAGACATTTTTCACTGTGAGAAATAATATTGTAGTGAACATCTCTGAGCATAATCCCCATCATCATATTTGGATTTATCCTTAAACATGTGCCAGATACATGAAAAGTTATGAATGCTTTTAAAAACCTTTAATATGGGGGCGCCTAGGTGGCTCAGAGGGTTAAAGCCTCTGTCTTCAGCTCAGGTCATGATCCCAGGGTCCTGGGATCGAGCCCTGCATCGGGCTCTCTGCTCAGCGGGGAGCCTGCTTCCTCCTCTCTCTCTGCCTGCCTCTCTGCCTACTTGTGATCTCTGTCTGTCAAATAAATAAATTTAAAAAATAAATAAATAAATTAAAAAAAAAAAAACCTTTAATATGTATTTTCAAATTGTTCTCTATAAGGCAGGCCTCTACTAACCTATAAGGCACCTTTGTTCAGGTTATAACCTCTGGGCAGACTATCCCTGGCAGTCCAAGCTTGGGGTGGATAGGGAGCCGTGTTACATGCACTCAGACCCTCTGGGGGTGCCTCAGTGTGGTTCAGAGCAGCAGGACGTAGGGATACCCATTTATATTACAGTAGCTCACACAGAGTACCTGTTTCAGAGAACCCAGATTAGCATTCGGAATTTAGGTTTGTAAAAATCTTTAATTCAGGGGCGCCTGGGTGGCTCAGTGGGTTAAGCCGCTGCCTTCAGCTCAGGTCATGATCTCAGGGTCCTGGGATCGAGTCCTGCATCGGGCTCTCTGCTCAGCAGGGAGCCTGCTTCCCTCTCTCTCTCTCTCTCTGCCTGCCTCTCTGTCTACTTGTGATCTCTCTCTGTCAAATAAATAAATAAAATCTTAAAAAAAAAAATCTTTAATTCATTAAGTGAAAAATAGTATGTTGATGTTTAAATTCACCCTTAGAGTTTATGAGGGTGAACATTTATAAATTTGTTTCTTGCACATTGTATTTCCTTTCATGAATTATCTGTTCATACTCATTTTTATGTTCTTAGTGCTGTATTTTGCACATTATTTATGATCTGCTGTTATTTGTTAGTAATATTCTTCCTAGATTGTGCTTGTATTAATTTCTGAAAGCACAAGGTTTTATTTCTGTGTAGAACAACCAATAATTTGCTCTCTTGATTCTCAGTTTACAAAGTTCTTCCCCATTCAGATGCCTGAAAAGTACTTACGTTTTCTTCTTCTTACTTCATTTTTACATTGATCTCTTTACATTGATGTTTAACATTTCTAATTTTTTTTTTCAAATAGCATTCCTGTGTAACACCATTTATTGCATCATCTTTGCCTAGTAATTTGTGGTCTGTTTCTTGTTATGTGTTAAATTATTATAGCTACTTTGATAAAAATATTTTGCTGAGTTTAAAAACAATAAATATCACATTCTTTATTTTTAATAAGATTTTATTTATTTATTTGTCAGCACAAACAGTAGGAGCGGCAGAGGGAGAAGCAGACTCCTTGCTGAGCAAGGAGCCTGATGCGGGACTCGATCCCAGGGCCCCGGTATCATGACATGAGTCAAGGCAGATGCTTAACCAACTGAGCCACCCCAGGCATCCCATGATCACATTCTTTATATGGTTAAAGCACTGTTCATTCACGATATATTTTTGCTTCACTGTTAACAATTATTTAAATTGACCTATTTTTAATGTGATAATTTTAATGCTGACTTATTCTTTATACCATGAATCCATGCGAACAGGGTATTTGGACAAATTAAGATTAATCATTTCACAGAGATGAGTGCATTTACGGATGACCTAGACTGCAGGCATTATAGGTAAATAGGCACTTGCACTCACTTTTAATAACTTTGTCTGTTTATGGTTTTTAGGGGTTGTTATCTCATATACTTTCGGCATTCAGATTTGATGCAAAAGAAGTTGGTCTTTTTACTCAAGGTCTTGAATTTACACCTGCAGATTACTATCCTGGTTTGCTTAAAAATGTGAGTATTTTTAATTTATTAGTATTGAAATTTTTGTTGCTTAATGTACCATGGCAAAAAAGGGTAAGAAATACCTCACTCTTCCAGGAAAGATGTTTAACTTTTCTCTGTTTATCTCTTCTTACCTTGGGTGGACTTACAGCCATGTAAGGAAGAAACGTGAGACGGGAGATTATGAGAAAAACGAAGGAAACCAGGAGAGGTTGTTCTAAATCAACCAACCCCTCTTTTCTCTTAACAGATCTCGTTTATTCTTTCAAAGATTTTTGGGAGAAGAGATTTCCTTAGCCAATATAAACACACCCTTTTACTGTTGGACAAATTTTGTATTTAAGATAACCTTAAGGAATTTTACATTAAAGCAAAAAATTCAATAAGTAACAATGTTGTAAATAGTAATATAGATTCACATCTTAGTATTAAAGTTTTGTTTTCTTCTGCCTTGAATTTTGGCCAAATTCAAGAAATTTTAATTTATTATCTTCTAAATACTGTTATAAGATTTTTAATGTTTGTTAACTGCTCTGGTGTTTTAGAAATTTTATACGTAAATAGCATTTTAAAAAATTACTAGAACTAAATTAGGAAGGAAAAAATAAGTTAATTTCAATGTGGTTTTATTTTTAACAAGTTTGATTTTCTTAGGAAATTAATGATCTGTCTATTGTTCATTTGCTTAAATTGGAATGTGGAATAACAGACATTAAAAATAAAATCCAAGTTATTAGTAAATGGACTTGGCACTGCTTTTTTTTCATTTTGACAAAGTAAAATAAGGAGAGGACGGGTAGGGGAGGGGAGGGAATCTCAACGGAAATATCACTCACACCAAGAAAAATAGAACTGATGTAATCCTGTTTTGCAGTATGAGTTAACCTGCAAATGATTTTGTTTTACAGATGGTTTTATCATTAGTGTCTGAACTCCGAGAGAATCATCTTAATGGATTTAACACTCAAAGGCGGTAGGCGTTAAACTAAACATCCCTCTTCTCAAGTTTCAAAATGTATCAGTCTGGTTATGAGAGAAAAATTTTATAATTCTTTGGAAATGCATTTTCATAGTTAGAGTTATATTCTGTGTGGAGAGATTATTTATACACGGCAAATTGGTGAGTTTTATGAAACTTTTTTAATCACTATTCTTTCAACTTCTATATGGCAGTAAATCATGCAGCATCTCTTGTGACCCATTGAGTAAAAAACCCTACATATACAGTAGGGTGTTAACACAAAGGAAAGGCTCAGCGCAGAGAGAGAGAGAGAGAGAGAGAGAGAGAGAGAGAGTGTGTGTGTGTGTGTGTGTGTGTCTTAAAAATACACACACACAAACAGTATTTACAAGGCAACAGATAATTGATGTGGACATATGACTTATTTTAAGAAACATAATACTCCAAAATCTAGACTAAACAAATCAAATAGATTCAGACAAATTAAAAGGCAATTAATCACATTACAAAATATTCTTCACTCTCAGAGAATTCAAAGTCGTCTTCATTGGTGAGCATTTCAGTTTTTTTTTTAAGGTTGTATTTATTCATTTGAGAGGGTGGGAGCATGAGCAGGGGGAGGGGCAGAGGCAGAGGGAAAAGCAGAAGCCCCGCGGAGAGCAGGGAACCTGATGTGGGGTCTCCATCCCAAGGCTCTAGGATCATGACCTGAGCCAAAAGCAGACGCTTAACCAGCTGAGCCACCCAGGTGCCCTGGTGAGCATTTCATTTTTAACAAATTTTTAACAAGAGAGTCTGGGGATAAGGGACTTTTGTCCTTGTTTTTTGCTTTTTGTTTGTTTTTATAAAGCTGTTGTCAATTAAAGCTCTATCAGAAATGGCCTTTGCTCTCAGCCTATATGATCCTTTGCATCTGAACTTTAAAGTAAACTATAAAACTCTTAAGCAAAAACACTGGAGAAAATCTTCATTTATTGATTTGGCAGTGATTTTTTTGGATATGACACCATAAGCACAAGCAACAAAGGAAAAGTAGATAAATTAGACTTCATTAAAATTATGAATTTTATGAGTTATACTATCAAAGCAAAAAGAGCCCATTGATTGAGTGAAGACATTTGGAAGTCTTGTATCCAATAAGGATTTAACTCCCTTAACAACAACAAAATATTCAATTCAAAAATGGGCCAAAAGAGTTGTTTATACATGTCTCCAAAGAAGATACACAGCTGGCTAGTAAGCACATGAAACAGTGTCCAGCACCACCAATTATTAGAGAAATGCAAATCAGAAACACAGTGGAATACCACATCACATATATCAGCATGATCTCTAATTTAAAAAACAAGCAAAATGAAAAATAATAAATGTTGGCAAGTAAGTTAAGAAAGTAGAACTTGTGCATTGTTGGTAGGAATGTAACAAACTATAGAAGTGATTCCTGAAAGGATAGTCTTGCTGGTGGGAATGTTAAATGGTACAGCTACTGTGGAAAAGTTTGGCAGTTCCTCAAAAAATTAAACATAGAATTACCATAAGACCAGCTCCTGGGTATATATTCAGAAGAATTGAAAACGGGGATTTGAACAGATATCTGAACACCAACGTACATAGCAGCATTATTCACAATAGCCAAAAGGTGGCAACACTCCCAAGTTCCCATTAGCAAAACGTGGAGTCGATAAAATGTGGATAAACAAAATACAATAGAATATTCTTCAGCCATAAGAAGGAATACAAATTTTATATATGCAAGAACATGGATGGACCTTGAAAACATCAAGCTTAGTGAAATAAGTCAGACACAGAAGGGCAAATAATTTAGGATATCACTTGTATGAAGTACCTAGAAGAGGAAAACTCAATAGAGATAGAAAGAAGAATAGAGTTTATCAGGGGCTAGAGCGAATGGGGTTACTGTTTAATGGGTCCATAGGTTTTGTTAGGGCTTAGGGATAATGAAGAGCCTTGAGTATAGATTGTGGTGGTGGGTACACAGTATGTGAATGCCTTTAATGCTACTAAATGGTTACCAAGTACAAATGATTAAAAAAATAAAAATTTTGTATGTTTTACCACAGTTTAAAAAAAGCAAGGAAAAAAAACAAACATGATACCAACTATACACTCCCTCAAATAACTAAAACACTTACATTAACATGTGTTAGAGAAGATATGGAACCACTGGATCTCTCATCTACTCTCTGTGAAAATGTGACTTGGGATCACCACTTTGGTAAACAGTGTAGTAGTTTATTGTAAAGTTAAACACATACTTACCATATGATCCATCAACTCCATTTTGAGTATTTACTCACAATAAATGAAAACATAGGTAGTCATAAATATTTCTATACAAATATTCACAGTTGCTCAATTTTATAATAGTTCAAAACCAGAAATGATCCAAAGGACCACCTTAACTGGATGGATAAACAAATAAGTATTGTCTGTTACCACCACTTAAAAAATGAAGGGGCACCTGGGTGGCTCAGTGGGTTAAAGCCTCTGCCTTCGGCTCAGGTCATGATCCCAGGGTCCTGGGATCGAGCCCCACATCGGGCTCTCTGCTCAGCGGGGAGCCTGCTCCCCCCTCTCTCTCTGTCTGCCTCTCTGCCTACTTGTGATCTCTGTCTGTCAAATAAATAAAAAAATTTAAAAAAAAATGAAAAGTCAAGACAAACTGTGAGCATATATTTTCAGATTATGTATCTGATAAAGGGCTCCTACCCAGAATACCTAAAGAATTCAGTAATAAGACAAATAACCCATGTATAAAGAACTCCGTAACAAGACCACCCAGTTAAAAAAGTAGGCAAAAGATTGGAAAAGGTCATCAAAAAATATATACAAATGGCTGATAAGCACATGAACACTTGTATACAGATGTTCGTAGAGGCATTATTCACAAAAAAAAAAAAAAGTGGAAGCAACCCAAATAACCATCAACTCACAAATGGAGAACAAAATATCCTATGTCCATACCGTAGAATACTGTATCTCACTAAGAAAGGAACAATCTACTGATCCATGTTGCAACGTGTGTGAACCTCAAAAACATTATGCTTAGTGAAAGAAGCCAGACACAGAAGACCATATATTATGTGATCCCATTTTTATAATGTCCGTAATAGGTAAATCTATAGAGATAGTAGATTAGCTGTTGCCTGGAGCTAAATGTAGGAACAGGGATTTGCTGCAAATGAAGATCTTGAAGTGACAGAAGCGTCCTAAAAGTGGATCATTAGTGGTAATGATTGTCCAACTTAGTAATTTATTAAGAATCTTTTAATTGAACATTTCAAATAGGTACATTTTATGGGATATAAATTATATTTAAAAAGTAATGAGAAGAGTCCCTGGGAAGGCAAGGAAAGCATTTACAATAATTTATTTACATGCCAGGTAGAAACTTTACTTTTGCCTTGAGATGAATGTTGAATAATAGAATTAGAGCTTTATTAAAATGGACTTAAAACATCAGTAGGATACAATGTATATGTACACCCTTCACCAACATCCTGAACTATGTCAAACTAATGATTTTTTAAAAACTTAACTGAGAAGAAACAACAACAAAACAAAAACACTATTAACAAGTGAAAAACATCAGTCAGAGAATTGGAAGATATTTGCAACCTATAAAACAGACGATCAGTATGGGAAGTATAGAAATGCCTCCTGCAAATCAATCATAAAGAGGCAAACACTCCAGTATAGAAATGGGCAAGAAATATAAGTAAGTTATTACTAAAAAAGGAAAACAATAAATAACAAACATTTAAAAAAATTCAAGAGTGATGTCAGCAAGACAGTAGAATAGGAAGCCCCAGTCCTTGTTTCTATACAGAAACACTGACTTAGCAATGGTGTATGACCCAAAGAGCCTTTATGAGAACTCCAGAAACCAATTAAGATGCTATAATACCCAGGCAAACTCAAAGTTAAAAACAACCATATTGAAATGGGTAAGAAAGCCATTTCATATCAACCACAGTACCCCTTCCCCTAAACTGGCTCAGTATTGTGGGATTGGGAGGAAAATTCTAGCTTACAGTTTCTCCTTTGAGGGGGGAAACAAAAGAATGGAATATGTTCGGTGTTCCTGCTTTGGGGAGATCAGCTGAGGGACTGGTGTCTCACTTGCCTGACTCTGACCACAGACGGGGAACCAGCAGACTTTCAGTGCCTGGGGACTGAGGAAGGTTAGAGCGTCCTCAGCAGCGCTGCCGATGGAGGTAGGCTCAGGGAGGAAACACCCAGCTCCCAGCTAATGTCTAGATGGGGCAGGGGGTGAGAAAAAAAAGAGTGGAATGTGCATCTAATTTTCCATCTTCTGAAAGGGCTACTTTAGGGATTCGTTTCAGTCTCCCATGACTTGAAGCAATAACAGAACCAGCATACTTTGGAGGTCAGAAGTCTGCAGAGAACCACAGAGCTAGTGGCTTATTGTAGCACCAGAGAACCTGCAGTACCAAAGACAAACACCAGAGGGAGGAAGAGATTGCAAACTCCTGAAAAACTGGCAAGCTCTCTGGGAAATTATTACATAAACAATCCCAGAGAAGACACATCCCCAGATAAGATTCAGAGGACCCCCAGATTCTCTCACCAGGTTGAATTGTGAGAGTCTTCTCCTGTAAAAGGGAAGTCCATAAAGCCTGGGAGAAGTGGCTATTTCTTTGGCTGCAGAAAATGCAAAAAAAAAAAAAAAAAAATGCACACAAAGAAACAGGAAAACATGGCCCAAACAAAGGAACAAAATTAATTTGCACAAACCTACCCTAAAGAAGTGGAGAACTATGAACTGCCTGTCAAAGAATTAAAAATAATTATCCTAAAGGAGCTAAATGCACTACAATAGAATACAGATAAATAACTAAATGAAATCAGAAAAATGATGCATAAACAAAATGAGAATATCAAGAGATAGCAATTAGAAAAAAACACCAAATAGACATTCTGGAGCTAGAACACAGTAACTGAATTGAAAAATTTAGTAGAGGGGTTCA